TCGCTGGCATCACAGACCACATGAAATGGCCTGTCCTGATCGGCAATTGCTAGGACTGGGGATTGTATCAAGCTCTGCTTGATACCCTCAAAGGAGCGCTGACATTCAGCGTTCCATAACCACCTCTCGTTCTTTTTCAACAAACGAGAGAGGTGCACAGTCATCTCGGCGTAATTGCGCGAATACTTATGCAAATACGCCGCTAGCCCAAGGAATTTTCGAAGACCTTTGACATCAACCGGCACAGGCCAGTCGGTGATCGCCTTGATCTTTTCGGGATCAGGACGTACACCGTTCTTACCAACGACGCACCCAAGAAGTGGTAATTCGCTTGCTGCAAATATACACTTCTTGAGGTTAGCATACAATTGATGCTTTCGCATGATTGTAAGAACCTGTCGGACGTGGTACCTGTGAACCTCAACATCCGACTTTCCATCCATAGCCCGATTATGGATGAGTACATCATCAAAATAACTCGGTGCGAATTCTCGTACTGGTCTCAACAGATGTGATACACATCGGTTGAACGTGGCAGGGGCATTACTAAACCCTTGTGGCATTACTAGCCATTCCCAGAGCATTCCACTGGGCGTGCTCACTGCGGTATAGAATATATCCCGTTCTCGCATAAGGATTTGATAGAAGCCATCCATCAAATTCATGGACGAAAAGATAGTACTCTTTGACATATCATCAATGATTACGTCCTTCCTCGGTATCGGCGTCTGTGCCGGTACCGTTGCAGCGTTCAATTTGTTGAACGCGTGCACTATCCGCCACCCTCCTGTTGCTTTTCGCACACAGAAGGTCGGAGAGCTATGTGGGGAAGTTGATTCCCTCACATGGCCCGCAGCTAAACGATCGACAAAGAACTTGTCGATCGCAAGTACTTGTTCACGAGGCAGTGGCCACTGCTTCATCACACAGTACTTCGAGCCTGGTTTAAGCTCGACCTCGTGTCGAATACCTTTATCCTTCGGTAATTCGCACGGAACAGTTTCAGGGAATACATCCTTGAATTCAACCAAATCTTCATAGAGAGGATTTTTCTTGAGCGATTCCCATGATTGGGAGTCATATCGCTCAATTCGTGTCTTTTCATCTAGGACACTCTCGTCCATAGATGAACTACTGAGAACTCTCTCGTTCTCAGTGAACACTGTTGCTGACCTTATGTCGGTTACACACTCGTCGTCAGCGACGAGTATGCAGATCTGCTTGACTTTGCCACTACGCAGATCACGCAAGAACCTTTTATGTTCGAGCGTTGGCAACTGAGTGATCTCCGAAGTTAACTTCGGAGGCGCAATCAGATCAAGTGTATAAGCGCCTACACTTGATCCGTTATTGACTATGACATTTAATGTCTCTGTCATTTCCCGGGGACTTATTCCCTCAGGCTTCGAAGGACTTATTCCTTCGTCTTCCCGGGGACTTATTCCCGCGGGTTTCGGGGAACTTATTTCCGCCGTATTTGCATTATCGGGACTTATTCCCTTTACTTCCTCTAGCTGTGGTTGCGCAACCACAGCGAGATCCTCTACGAAAGACTCTCCAGTCGATCTAGGATTATCGTTTCGCTTAACCTGAGCGATCGATTGTTTCTCTTCTAGATGTTCCCCGCTAGGGATACATCTTTGTCCCGGTCCACTCGACTTGTTCGAGTGGTGGACCTTCGGCGCAGCCTGTGTTTCCTCACAGCCGCCGGAACTTTGCTCCGAAGTGTAACCGTTTGTTACACTAAGGTTTTGTGCAGTCGTACTAACGACCGTACCACAAGTGAGGCCATCGCACTCACTCGTAGTACATCTACACGCTTGTGGACGCTCCAAAACTTTCATCAGATGGCCATCTGATGAACAAGCGGCAGGTATCGTTACTGTTCGATGTTGCCAGTTTACCCGTGGTTCGTACCTTCTGAGCCACGGTATTCCAAGGATGACATCAAATTTGTCATCCAAATCCAATACGATAAAGTCATCGTCATACTGGGTATCTTCTAGCGTATAGTGAATCTTCACTATACGCTTCATGACGGTTACGGATGCGCCTGTCGCAAGACGTACCGTCATCCTCGTAGGAGGTGTGTCACATTCACTGTAATTGAAGTGACCATCTTCTAGCGATTGGCGTCGCACAAAATTGTTGGACGCCCCACAATCGACTAGAGCTCGAAGGGACAACTTATTCGTCACTTCGAGTTTCAAGGTAATGAGTGAGTCCTCATTACCTAGAGCAGCAACGCACAACGTTTGTGCGTTGGGAGCAACCTTCATCAAGAGGCCTACAAATTCTCTTGACGTTGCTGGACCAGTAGGGTGCTCCGCACCTACTGATCCTGACTGTTTTTTGACGGTCCATCCCGTTGTTGCGTCTTTGCACCAACAGCGGACCCGCGTCCCTGCCCCTTTCTCATGGGTGGACGGTCACTACGCCCAGTGTCGCGAGACACTGGACGAGGGGCACTACACTCATAAGCGTAGTGTACTGTCTTTTGACATCTGTTGCATCTCTGCAACTTCTTGTAGCCTGTAGAGCGAGCCTTCTCGCTCTCTACATAGCAGAGTTCCATCGGCTCTGGACCTCCGTTGTCATATCGTCTCGGTTGACGATATGATGTCGAGCTGGCGCGAGCCTGTCTCAGACTGAAGTCTTCCTGCTCCGCAATGGAAATGGCTTGTTCTAGTGAATCTAGTTCAAGCCGGAACAGGTGAGTCTTGACGGGACCATCCGCAAGACCCTGCATGAACAACGAAACCAACGTGTGTTCATCCACCGGATTGGAACTTATACAACTCGTGAGATGTCGTATATGTTGAGCGTAAGCGTGCACATCACGCTTACCCTGCTTGAGCTTCAAGAGTTCGGTTCGAGCTCTGAACTCAGCTCTAGGCGGTTCAAACGTTTGTCTGAGCCGCGACTTGAAGACTTCCAACGACCCAAACGCATATGGGTCGTGCAACTTGAGCCCCAGTGCCCAAGTCTTGGCACGTCCTGCCAGATTTGACTGGGCAAATGCAACTTGCATTTCCCCATCGTCGATGCGACGCGCCCTTATGGCGTCATCCAATTCGACGAACCATCTCAAGAGGGAGTCTTCTTCGACCCCCCTATACTTTGAGATGTCAATCTTCAAGGTCTCGGGTCGACGCGAATGCATCGACCCACCAGCAGCAGCCTGCTGCTGTCTCAACAGTTCAAACTGTTGAGCACCCTGTTCTCTCAACAACTCTGCTTGTCGAGAACCTTGTTGGTGAAGCAAGGCTACTTTCTCGCGTTCTGCGTCAAGTTCATTTTAAATTAACTTGGCGATAGTAGCATGTTGGGCATCTCTATTGAGAGCCTCTAGCATGACGCTAACAGCATGGATGCCCATGGTCGAACCCATACGTTCAACCGCATCCCATTCGACATCGCTCAAATGGGAGTAGCCGTCACGCGTAGCGTGAAAGCTTTGGTCATCTTCATCATCCAACATATTCATGTTGGATGTGAACGTGGTCCTTGGACGGACTACGAAGTGCTACCAGGTGTAACGGGGCACCCTGAAGCTTGTACTGGTGACAGTACAAACTACTTATTCTGATGACAGAATAAGGCGGTGCCTCGTAACTTCACGTACACTCGTACGTGCAGAGGAAGACGGTAAGAAGAAGCGAGTACTTGGTTAAAGTAAAAAGTAGAACTGTATTTATAATAGTTAATGTCTGCAATAAATCACTATTTATCTTCATCTAACTATGTCTAAATACAAATGTGTAAATCAGTTATCTGCTCACCACTCATTGCGTGCGTCTGTCGTGGCGTGTCTTCGTTGGTTGATATAATGGCCTATATCAACCAATTAGGAACTACTCGTAAGTGCTACAGAATATTTGTCCTTATGACAATATTCTGAGAATATAACTCTTATAGTTATATTCTATTAACAATTTCTTATAAATTGTTATGTAACGATTCACCCCGTTACAGGAGGTGTGATCGGGAGCACTCAATGTCAACAGCTTTGACGTTACCGTCTTTCCTGTTGCCAATTCTTCTTGTACGTCTGATTGCAACGCTAAGCCTTTCTGCTGTGCATGTGCATTAGTGGCGACTCTTGCTTGTTTCAGGATAGCATAAGCAAGTTGCGGAGGTGGTGTAAGGCTGTTCATTGTAATTAAATATAGATAGAGGTCTTTTTATCATCGATGTCCCAGTCTGCTGCAAAAAAGAGTGCAAACCATTTTGACCAATCATATATTGAGAAATGTGGGACTGAGGGGCAAGTAGCAAGAAGGTGATGGCTGAATAGCGGCTCCCTAATTTTATTACAACATTTATCGCATTGCAGTTCTGTTGACTCATATCCACTAAGCTAATTCAATATTGACATTATGTCAATATCCTACACACGGATTCACCCTTCTGCAAGACACGTATTTACTGAGAGCCAGACTCGTAAATGAACAATGATCGAGGCCTTTATAGCCGCACCTCCTTGTTTGTCACGCACAAAAACGGCAGCTTCTGTAACGGGGTGAATCGTTACATAACAATTTATAAGAAATTGTTAATAGAATATAACTATAAGAGTTATATTCTCAGAATATTATCATAAGGACAAATATTCTGTAGCACTTACGAGTAGTTCCTAATTGGTTGATATAGGCCATTATAATAACCAACGAAGACACGCCACGACAGACGCACGCAATGAGTGGTGAGCAGATAACTGATTTACACATTTGTATTTAGACATAGTTAGATGAAGATAAATAGTGATTTATTGCAGACATTAACTATTATAAATACAGTTCTACTTTTTACTCTAACCAAGTACTCGCTTCTTCTTACCGTCTTCCTCTGCACGTACGAGTGTACGTGAAGTCACGAGGCACCGCCTTATTCTGTCATCAGAATAAGTAGCTTGTACTGTCATCAGTACAAGCTTCAGGGTGCCCCGTTACACCTGGTAGCACTTCGTAGTCCGTCCAAGGACCACGTTCACATCCAACATGAATATGTTGGATGATGAAGATGACCAAAGCTTTCACGCTACGCGTGACGGCTACTCCCATTTGAGCAATGTCGAATGGGATGCGGTTGAACGTATGGGTTCAACCATGGGCATCCATGCTGTTAGCGTCATGCTAGAGGCTCTCGATAGAGATGCCCAACATGCTACTATCGCCAAGTTCATTGACAATGAACTTGACGCTGAACGCGAGAAAGTAGCCTTGCTTCACCAACAAGGTTCTCGACAAGCAGAGTTGTTGAGAGAACAGGGTGCTCAACAGTTTGAACTGTTGAGACAGCAGCAGGCTGCTGCTGGTGGGTCGATGCATTCGCGTCGACCCGAGACCTTGAAGATTGACATCTCCAAGTATAGGGGGGTCGAAGAAGACTCCCTCTTGAGATGGTTCGTCGAATTGGATGACGCCATAAGGGCGCGTCGCATCGACGATGGGGAAATGCAAGTTGCATTTGCCCAGTCAAATCTGGCAGGACGTGCCAAGACTTGGGCACTGGGGCTCAAGTTGCACGACCCATATGCGTTTGGGTCGTTGGAAGTCTTCAAGTCGCGGCTCAGACAAACGTTTGAACCGCCTAGAGCTGAGTTCAGAGCTCGAACCGAACTCTTGAAGCTCAAGCAGGGTAAGCGTGATGTGCACACTTACGCGTAACATATACGACATCTCACGAGTTGTATAAGTTCCAACCCGGTTGGTGAACACACGTTGGTTTCGTTGTTCATGCAGGGTCTTGCGGATGGTCCCGTCAAGACTCACCTGTTCCGGCTTGAACTAGATTCACTAGAACAAGCCATTTGTAACGGGGTGAGAGCCCGTTACCGTCTTACACTAATAATTAAGCTGAGGAAGCGCTGTGATTTATAAGGTAAATTCAACTCTGTTTGTATTTTTGTGTTTTTATAATTCGCAGTAAGTGCGAATATGTTCCCTAGCTCATGGGAACCACTCAAATACAGAACTAATTATTATTGGCTAATTATTGGGTCTGGCACCCCAATAATAAACCAATAATAAATAGACGCGCAGTATCCGCTATCCGGATACTGCCTACACTTAATGTATGTAATTATGTAATAAAACTATGACTACTTAATATAATGGGTTGCCCCATTACATCACCCCCCTCTTCAAGTTACGCTTACCGTGACGTAAGCGCCATACACAGAAAGTTTCTTCTTAACGAATAGTCCAACGAAAAGCCCAACGAGAACTCCAACGACACGTCATCTTGGTCTTCGAATCTGCTCAGCCACAAACAACTGAGCAGCATGAATCCTGAACACCCACGCGACTCGACCCCAAACGACAGTTGGGGTCATCAGACACTTCGAAGCGAGCGTGCACCGCAGACCATGGATGACGACTTGAAGCCGTGGGGCTTGTACAGCCTTGAAGGCGCGCACCAACCTGAATCACTTGAGACCATGAAGAATCTCTTCACACGATACCGTAACGTTCGAGGCAAGGGAACGAATCACACATACACTGAAGACGCACTGCAACGATCTTGGTGTGCCTTCATCAGACGTTGGAACGCGAGTCGACGTGAAGGGGCATCCTTCACGTCCTGGATCGAGGGACGCGAAAGTACTCATGGCGACCACGCTATTGGCGACTTACGACGACGCGTATGTCATTTGACTCGTGATGGGTTCCACATGTGTTACGTCCATGTCCGTGAAGGGTGTCCACGGTGTCACATGGAGAGACCGCGACCAATGCGGCAGGAATGGGACGACATGGTGTGTGCACGGAGAATGCCCCAGCACATCCGACCATGGATCGGACGCTATGAGAGGAGCCTCTCAGAGCTCCAAGTATCTGCGTTGCGTCACATGAGGGAACGCCCTGTCGATCAATGGAGGCGTTCACGTAGTCGAGATCGTTTGTCTTACGACCACCGAGGTCGTTCTCGTAGTCGCTCTCGACCGTCAAGGTATCCAAATGCTCCCGAGCCTCGTAGAAGACGTCGGAGTCGCTCGGGAGATCGTCGTCGATCGCCAATTCACGCACGTTACGGTTCGCGGGATCGTGGAAGGAGTCAGCAGCGTCGGTCGCGTTCGCCGACCTCTTACTGGTCTCGTACTCCTCATCGACGTCAGGAACATCGTGAGCCAGCATACTTCGAGGCTCCCACGTGTCTTCCGTTGGTGAATAACCCAACCATCGGACCTTGTAATGCGTTTCTGAACGACTCTTCGATGGTGCCAAGCCACTACTCGGCGCAAGAGGCGTGGGGTCTTCATGACCGACGATACGGTCCACAATCCAGCGTCGCTCACCCGATGCATCTACCAAGGGAGGAGGAGCATCACGACGGAAGGCTTCTTGGGTTGGGCGCCGATTCTCATAATCGGGCGCCTGTGCCGTCGAGTGACGAGCTTCGTTTCCTTCGTGCTGACACTGAAGAGGCGATGAACGGCCTTCTGGATGCCCGTGAGATGGCCGAGAGGGCTCGAGATCGTGCAGCAGCTGCGACAGAGGCTGCCGAGAGAACCCGACGGGAGCACTAGGGCTTGGTGGAGCGTCTGCGACAGCTCGAGACTGCTGCGTTCGGTGGACCCCAGCAGAACGAGTCTGCTCGCGCTCGTCTAGGACTTGGTCCCAGTCGTCGTCAGCGTCGTCGGCAGGGGGTGTCGGACTTTGAGCCGATACAGACGAGTGAGGAAGGACCAAAGGGAGATCCGCCGGCAGGTAAGCCTTAAGGCGCCCGACATAGAATGTCGGGTGCAAACGCATAGTGGTAGGTATGTCTAGCGTGTAAGCATCTCCATGGACTTCAACAATCCGAAAGGGCCCAATATATCTTGGCGCTAATTTATTAGCGCCCAAATTCGTTACTGACGTGTCTGGTAATCCGCTTGTCGATAGTAAGACTCTGTCACCTTCTTTGAACGTCAGCAAGTTCTTTCGACCTCGCTTGTCCGCGTTCTCCTTTTGTTTATCCACTGCTTCTTGGAGTGCATCGCGTACAAAACGCGTGATACTTTGCCGTAGTAATAGGAATTCGGTCACAGCAGCCGAACTTACAGGAGAAGTGGACTCTTTAGGAGCAAAATTAGCGACGGGAGACGCGATGGGATGCATCGAGTCGGGACTCGATATGCCATTGGCCACGAAATTAACAGTATGAGTTGCATCGGCAGCAACCTTGTCTTCAACATTACCAATCATAAAAATTTTCCCCTTAGTGTCATCGGGAGGCACTCCCCCACCAAGCTGAGAAACTGGGTGTGCTGAAGCTGAAAGAGCAAGAAGTGCTGGAACGCGAGGGTGCCTCGCGTTATTCACGAAAAATGGCGTTAACCCAGTCGACGCATGAATTGCGTTGTTGATTGCAAATTCAGCGAGAGGGAGAAACGAACTCCACGACTGGAACGATGTCGCATAACTGCGTAGTACATCTTCAAGCACTCTGTTCACGCGCTCCGTTTGCCCATCCGTCTCTGGATGGGCTGCCGTAGACATAAGCAGTCGCGTGCCCAATAGTTGAAACAACGTTGCCCAAAAAGCTGATGTAAAGCGCGGGTCGCGGTCCGAAACAATTGATTCAGGCAAGCCGTGATGTCGAAATATGAGATCGATGAAGATCTGCGCGGTCGTCTCCGCCGTAACGTGCGCGGAGACTGGAGCAAAATGCACCATTTTGCTAAATCGATCCACAAAAACCAATACGCCCGTGCGTTTCTGTTCGTCCGGAGGAAGACCAAAGATGAAATCCATGCTGACCGAACGCCAGGCTTCCGTGGCAATCGGAAGCGGACGCAATGGAGCTTGTGAAGACGGCGCAGGCTTCACACGCTGGCATATTTCACAAGAGCGTACCCATTTCTGGATGTATTTGTACATAAGCGGCCAGAAAAACACACGAGAGATGGCCGCGAACGTCTTCTCGCGACCCAAATGACCACCAGTTGGAGTGTCATGAAATTCATGCACCAATCGTGCGCGGAGGTCGTCATCAGCAGGGATGACGACGCGCGGTGGGTCGAAAACGTCCATTGTATAAGTCAGCAGCGGACCATCAAGCGCGTACCGCTTGATGTTGTCACGCGTTGGTTTCGTCAACTTCGCGAGTGAACCCTCACTAGGGTGTCGAAGATAATTGATGATTCCCGTGTAGAATGAATCGTTCGCATATGACTCAGCGATTTGAGTCCGGATTGACAGCTCAGGTGTCGAAATCATTGCATTGAGCCCCTGCTCAGCACAGCATAAACAAATGTCGTCGTCCTCGTCTTCAGCAATGCCTGGCTGATGACCCATGTCACGTCGAGGATCATAATCGGGACGTCGAGAAAGCGCGTCAGCAAGAATGTTGTTCTTGCTGGGTTTGTAAAAGACCACGAAATTATACTCTGAGAAGTATGACAACCAACGTGCCATACGCTGGGACAAGTGGGGAGTCTTGACGGCGGTACGCAATGATGCGTGATCTGTATAGACCGAAAACATCTTCTCGCCGAGCAAATATACTCTGAACTTGATCAGCGCGTAACGCATAGCCAAAAGTTCCTTGTCATGTACCGGATAGTTCCGCTCTGCGGGTTTCATCTGTCGTGACTGAAAGCTCACGACGCGCTCTCGGCCCTCATCGTCAAACTGCATGAGGGCACATCCAATAGCGAAATCACTCGCATCACAGACGACGTGAAATGGCTTGGAATCATCAGGCAACATCAGCACTGGTGCTTCAGACAAGCTCTTTTTCACAGAGTTGAAGGCAGAGTGATGTTCAGCTTTCCATGACCAAACTGCGTCTTTCTTCAGTAGAGTCGATAGTGGCTGGATTAGTTCTGCATAGTTCTTCGTATACTTATGCAAGTAATTGGCCAAGCCAAGCCATTGGCGTAGTTCCGTTTGGTTCCTGGGCGTAGGCCATGAACATATCGATGACACTTTCTCGGGTTCAGCATGGACACCTTCCTTGCTAACATAGCATCCAAGAACTGGAATCTCGGGAGCACAGAAGACACACTTCTTCAAATTTGCGTACAGTTTGTTCTTGCGCATCACTTGGAACACCTGTTTCAAATGCCGAAGGTGGACCTCCGTAGCGCTGAGTTGTTGCTCAGCGCGGCTGTGAACAAAAATATCGTCGAAATAACTTGGAGCGAAATCACGTAGTGGCCGAAGCACTTGTGTCACCATCCGGTTGAACGTTGCTGGAGCGTTCTTAAGGCCTTGTGGCATGACTAGCCACTCCCAAAGCATCCCACTCGGTGTGCTGACAGCGGTGAACGGGATATCACTGTCCCTCATCAAAATCTGGTAAAACCCGTCTGTCAGGTCTATGGCGCTAAAAATCTCGCTGCCGGACATGGTATCCAGTACCATGTCTTTCCGAGGAATTGGTGTTTGAGCCGGGATCGTGGCGTCATTCAACTTGTTAAAAGCATGCACGATGCGCCAACCGCCGGTGGCTTTCTTCACACAGAAAGTCGGACTCGAATGTGGCGATATGCTTTCGCGGACGTGTCCTGCCTTACGGCGGCCCTCAAAAAATTCATCAATTGCGATGACTTGGTCACGCGGTAGCGGCCACTGCCGCGTCACGCAATACTTCGATCCTGGCACGAGATCGATCTCGTGTCGCACACCACGATCCGCTGGAAGCTCAGCGGGGATATTCTCCGGAAAGATGTCGGCATACTCACGCGCGATATCATAGACAGGGTTGCCCGAAGCACGAAGGGCTTCCCAAGACTGTGCCACGAAACGTTCTTCGCACGCTGATTCGGGCTCAGCGCTCTTTGGGCGAGCCTCCAGAACTTCTCCACTAGCTGCTTCGGCGGCTGATATGATGCACACTTGCTCAATGTCGCCGGCCTTGAGGTCGTGAAGAAAATCTTTCCATGGTAGGGTTAATAGAGATGTGATCTCTGCAACAGTGCACGGAGGGCTCGCTACCTCAACGTAGCGGCCACGATGTGAAGACCCTTCCACATATTCAAGCGCACAAACGGATTCCGTCAATACAGTATCATCGTCAACGGCGCTTGAGCGAGAATTTCGTCTCTTGGTGATCGGCGTGCACCTTTCTTGCGTTTACGCTTTCTCTTGCGTCTTGAGCCACTGCTCGAGGCTGGAACGTCGCTGTCGCTGGAGGATGAAGTACCCCCCGCTAGACGTGGGAGCTCTGTCTCCACCACGTCGCTCACATTTAAGTCCACAGCCCGTTCATTCTCGTCGATAAGAGGCGGGAGCTCGTCGTCGACCGCCTCAGATGTATGTGGGAGCCTCTGCTCGACCACCTCGGTTACAATCGGGAGCCTCTGCTCGGCCGTTGTGTGTGTATGCGGGAGCCCCTGCTCGACCGCCTCGCTAGAACTCGGGAACCCCTGCTCGACCGAAGTCCGTGTGTGCGGGAACCCCTGTTCGACCGCCTCGTTGTGAATCGGGAGCCCCTGCTCGACCGATGTCCGTGTGTGCGGGAACCCCTGTTCGACCGCCTCGTTGTGAATCGGGAGCCCCTGCTCGACCGATGTCTGTGTTTGCGGGAACCTCTGTTCGACCGTCTCGTTGTGAATCGGGAGCCCCTGCTCTACCGATGTCTGGGTTTGCGGGAACCTCTTTTCGACCGCCTCGTGTTGTGGTTCTATCAGTGTGACTGAACATACCGGACACAGAGGGCCATCGCTCTCTCTGTGCTGACTTCTAGTCGTGGCGAGTTCGTTCACGACCCTGACGTGAGGCCAATCGGATGGCGCTACCAACAGATGAGTGAAAACTTCACTTACGTCGTAGCCGCTTCGTCGTTTGACGGACCGAGATAGCCAGTCTATCGTCGGCTGATATCGTGACAGCCACGGTATCCCCAAGATGCAATCGAATGCATAATTCATCTCGTACACTAAAAATTCGTCATTACTTTGGAAGCCGTCGAACGTGTACGGCAAAACCACTGTTTTACGCGGGACACGCTGTGGTTGTCCATCAGCAAGTTTGACAACGATGTCACCTGGACCTTCTCGAACCGTAACTGTCGACGGGAGAAGGGACAAACATGATGCTCGAAAGAAGTTGTTGGATGCACCCGAATCCAACAACGCTCGAAGTGGTCGTTTAACTCCAGCAACGATGAGACTGATAATTATCAGTCTCGAATCGTCGCGCATAGTGGTGGCATTGAAGTGGGTATGTATCACTTTAGGGCTAGGAGCCCGAGCTGCCACCTGAGTACTCGGGGCTCCATTACTGCCAGTAGGGCGCCCCGCACCTACTGGAACCGCTCATTTCTTGGCGGGACCACGGACGACACAGTATCTCCACGTAAGTCACTTGTGTTCATGGACACCGGCGCAGGTGATCGGCAGACGGCCGCACGATGGCCAGTCTTGCCGCACCGATAACACTTCGTCGTGTTTTGACTTCGAATGTCGCGGCCAAATTGCTTGCCGCGACCACGAGATGCATCGATAACGTCAATTTCCATAGGCTCTGGGCCAGACGTACGCGGGCGTTGCGACGCTGCCTGCAAATATGACGATGCGACCGTTAATCTTCACGAAGCGCGAGGGCAAATGCCTCCTCAAGAGTCTTAGGTTCAGCACGTGTGAGGCGATAGCGGGTCATGCCCTCTTGCATACCAAAGACAAAGACATGAACTTGAGACGCCATGTCGACCGGCTTCGTGATGATACACGAAGCAAGATGTCGCGTCTTCTGTACGTAATCACGCATCGACAGCTTGCCCTGTCGAAGTGAAAAGAAATCTGCGCGCAAGCGTGACTCATCTTGAGGGGGCTCGAACGCCAGTCGTAAGTCGCGCTGGATATCGTCCAGCGTGGGGGAATGCCAACTCGTTTACAACGAGCTTCCCAAGAGCCCATTCTTTGGCTTTACCAACAAGCCGAGACAGTAGGAAATTAACCTTGGCCGTCGGAGCGTCAATCAACCTTGACGCTATGGCGATATCAATCTCCCTAAACCAGCGATTAAGGGGGAGACGATCTGGACCATCACCAGAGTATGTCGACGTCTCCATTTTAATTGCATCGTAATGGGAGGGGCGCGAGGGAGTATGTACTCGCCGGTTCGCTTCGGCGAGCTCGCGCACCATGTAGTCTTGAATGGCGGCACGGTGTTGTTCGGGCGTCGCTGTGCTCAGCAGCGACGTCACGAAGATTTCACCAGACACCGCCGCGAGGCGGTGTAATGCCTGCCATTCTACCGTAGTGAGATGGGGAAAATCTGCATGCTCCAGCGAAACTGCTGGAGCCATCGAAGATTCACTCATATCCATCTCGAACTTGGTCATGGGAAGGACTACGAAGTGCTACCAGGTGTAACGGGGTGAGAGCCCGTTACCGTCTTACACTAATAATTAAGCTGAGGAAGCGCTGTGATTTATAAGGTAAATTCAACTCTGTTTGTATTTTTGTGTTTTTATAATTCGCAGTAAGTGCGAATATGTTCCCTAGCTCATGGGAACCACTCAAATACAGAACTAATTATTATTGGCTAATTATTGGGTCTGGCACCCCAATAATAAACCAATAATAAATAGACGCGCAGTATCCGCTATCCGGATACTGCCTACACTTAATGTATGTAATTATGTAATAAAACTATGACTACTTAATATAATGGGTTGCCCCATTACACCATTTCCATTGCGGAACAGGAAGACTTCAGTCTGAGACAGGCTCGCGCCAGCTCGACATCATATCGTCAACCGAGACGGTATGACAACGGAGGTCCAGAGCCGATGGAACTCTGCTATGTAGAGAGCGAGAAGGCTCGCTCTACAGGCTACAAGAAGTTGCAGAGATGCAACAGATGTCAAAAGACAGGACACTACGCTTATGAGTGTAGTGCCCCTCGTCCAGTGTCTCGCGACACTGGGCGTAGTGACCGTCCACCCATGAGAAAGGGGCAGGGACGCGGGTCCGCTGTTGGTGCAAAGACGCAACAACGGGATGGACCGTCAAAAAACAGTCAGGATCAGTAGGTGCGAAGCACCCTACTGGTCCAGCAACGTCAAGAGAATTTGTAGGCCTCTTGATGAAGGTTGCTCCCAACGCACAAACGTTGTGCGTTGCTGCTCTAGGTAATGAGGACTCACTCATTACCTTGAAACTCGAAGTGACGAATAAGTTGTCCCTTCGAGCTCTAGTCGATTGTGGGGCGTCCAACAATTTTGTGCGACGCCAATCGCTAGAAGATGGTCACTTCAATTACAGTGAATGTGACACACCTCCTACGAGGATGACGGTACGTCTTGCGACAGGCGCATCCGTAACCGTCATGAAGCGTATATTGAAGATTCACTATACGCTAGAAGATACCCAGTATGACGATGACTTTATCGTATTGGATTTGGATGACAAATTTGATGTCATCCTTGGAATACCGTGGCTCAGAAGGTACGAACCACGGGTAAACTGGCAACATCGAACAGTAACGATACCTGCCGCTTGTTCATCAGATGGCCATCTGATGAAAGTTTTGGAGCGTCCACAAGCGTGTAGATGTACTACGAGTGAGTGCGATGGCCTCACTTGTGGTACGGTCGTTAGTACGACTGCACAAAACCTTAGTGTAACAAACGGTTACACTTCGGAGCAAAGTTCCGGCGGCTGTGAGGAAACACAGGCTGCGCCGAAGGTCCACCACTCGAACAAGTCGAGTGGACCGGGACAAAGATGTATCCCTAGCGGGGAACATCTAGAAGAGAAACAATCGATCGCTCAGGTTAAGCAAAACGATAATCCTAGATCGACTGGAGAGTCTTTCGTAGAGGATCTCGCTGTGGTTGCGCAACCCCAGCTAGAGGAAGTAAAGGGAATAAGTCCCAAGATTACAAATACGGCGGAAATAAGTTCCCCGAAACCCGCGGGAATAAGTCCCCGGGAAGCCGAAGGAATAAGTCCCCAGGAAATGACAGAGACATTGAATGTCATAGTCAATAACGGATCAAGTGTAGGCGCTTATACACTTGATCTGATTGCGCCTCCGAAGTTGACTTCGGAGATCACTCAGTTGCCAACGCTCGAACATAAAAGGTTCTTGCGTGATCTGCGTAGTGGCAAAGTCAAGCAGATCTGCGTACTCGTCGCTGACGACGAGTGTGTAACCGACATAAGGTCAGCAACAGTGTTTACTGAGAACGAGAGAATTCTCAGTAGTTCATCTATGGACGAGAGTGTCCTAGATGAAAAGACACGAATTGAGCGATATGACTCCCAATCATGGGAATCGCTCAAGAAAAATCCTCTCTATGAAGATTTGGTTGAATTCAAGGATGTATTCCCTGAAACTGTTCCGTGCGAATTACCGAAGGGTAAAGGTATTCGACACGAGGTCGAGCTTAAACCAGGCTCGAAGTACTGTGTGATGAAGCAGTGGCCACTGCCTCGTGAACAAGTACTTGTGATCGACAAGTTCTTTGCCGATCGTGTAGCTGCGGGCCATGTGAGGGAATCAACTTCCCCACATAGCTCTCCGACCTTCTGTGTGCGAAAAGCAACAGGAGGGTGGCGGATAGTGCACGCGTTCAACAAATTGAACGCTGCAACGGTACCGGCACAGACGCCGATACCGAGGAAGGACGTAATCATTGATGGTATGTCAAAGAGTACCATCTTTTCGTCCATGGATTTGATGGATGGCTTCTATCAAATCCTTATGCGAGAACGGGATATACCCTATACCGCAGTTAGCACGCCTAGCGGCATGCTCTGGGAATGGCTAGTAATGCCACAAGGGCTTAGTAATGCCCCTGCCACGTTCAACCGATGTGTATCACATCTGTTGAGACCAGTACGAGAATTCGCGCCGAGTTATTTCGATGATGTACTCATCCATAGTCGGGCTATGGATGGAAAGTCGGACGTTGAGGTTCACAGGTACCACGTCCGACAGGTTCTTACAATCATGCGAAAGCATCAATTGTATGCTAACCTCAAGAAGTGTATATTTGCAGCAAGCGAATTACCACTTCTTGGGTGCATCGTTGGTAAGAACGGTGTACGTCCTGATCCCGAAAAGATCAAGGCGATCACCGACTGGCCTGTGCCGGTTGATGTCAAAGGTCTTCGAAAATTCTTTGGGCTAGCGGCGTATTTGCATAAGTATTCACGCAATTACGCCGAGATGACTGTGCACCTCTCTCGTTTGTTGAAAAAGAACGAGAGGTGGTTATGGAACGCTGAATGTCAGCGCTCCTTTGAGGGTATCAAGAAGAGCTTGATACAATCCCCAGTCCTAGCAATTGCCGATCAGGACAGGCCATTTCATGTGGTCTGTGATGCCAGCGATTTCGCAATCGGCTGTGCATTAATGCAGTACGACCTTGAAGGCGTTGAACGCGTCGTCTGCTATCAGTCGCGTCAGCTGCAACCAGCTGAGCGGAACTATCCAGTGCATGACAAGGAACTCCTTGTTATGAAGTATGCACTAGCGAAGTTCAGAGTCTATCTATTAGGAGATAGACCCTTCATTGTTTATACTGACCATGCGTCATTACGCACGGCAGTGAACAGCCCGCACCTTTCACAACGAATGGCGCGGTGGTTGTCATTCTTTGCAGAATACAACTTTACGGTCGAATACAAACCAGGACGACTTAATGTCGTCGCTGATGCACTCTCACGTCGTCCCGACTTTGAAACAGTCGCGAAACCCAACAGTAAGACAGTCACTGTTGCGGTTATGACGTCCTCAGTCCCATCTACAACGTTGTATGATGATGTGAGGCGGGCATACGCCCAAGATGGTGAGATTGTGAAGTTGTTGACACATCTCTCCCAACCATCTCGAGAATCGTTGAAACGATTGTCGCCTGCGTTTCGATCTGCATCAGATCGATACACTACTCGCAACGGTTTACTGTATTATACAGCCGTTTCTGGTGACACACCACGTGTTGTCATTCCAGATGATACTGATCTGCGTTTGCGGATCATGTTCGAGTATCACGATGCTCCTATAGGAGGACATCGTGGCCGGGAGAAAACATATCTCACGGTGAGTCGAGACTTTTACTGGCCCCGCCAGTATCAGTTTGTGCGCAAGTACATTCGCGCATGCGAAGTCTGTCAACGAGTGAAGTCAAGTCCTTCACTGCGTGCACCTTTACAGCCTCTACCGGTTCCGGCTGAGTGCTGGGAATCCATCTCAATGGATTTTGTCTTCGGGTTACCCAAAGACGCACGCGGGAATACGGGTATTCTCGTATTTGTTGACAGATTCAGCAAAATGGTACACCTTGTGGCTGTACCAGAGTCAATCACAGCAAGTGGCTGTGCTTGTGTCTTTATTGACACCATCTTCCGACTTCATGGGTTGCCCCGTGAACTCGTATCAGACAGAGATCCACGATTCACTGCTGATTTCTGGCGTTCCGTGTTCAAATCACTCGGTACGCGCTTGAAGATGTCGACATCTGATCATCCAGAGTCAGATGGTCAGACGGAACGTGCCAATCGTGTCCTCGAAGAGATACTTCGAGGATACGTACACTCCTTTAAGAGTTGGAGTGAGTTCTTGCCAATGGCAGAGTTTGCCATTAACAACTCGGTGCATGCGTCCACGACACATACACCGTTTTACGTGAATGGCTTACGCCATCCGCGAGTACCCACCTTACTAGAGTGTGACTCTGGTTTAAGGGGGGGGGGACTCGCACGAGCAAAAACCGATTTGGTTCACGCTCATCACGCTCTGACGAAGAGGTCATTGCGTTTGATGCCGATATCGATAACATCGATATCGAAGAAGATGATGCCAGTGAGAGTGCGGAAGCCCTCACTGAAGAAAAGGTTGATGTTGCTGCAGTGCACTCACAGCGCACTGAAGCTAAAGAGTCATCAGATGAGTTCATACTGGCTCGTGAAACGGTAGTCCGTTTTGTGCAAGATTCCATCGCCGAAGCGGTGGATAAGCAAAAGCAAAACGCTGACAAGAATGGAAGGGCAAACACTCTTTTATTCAATAAAAGGTGACTTAGTCCTACTGTCTACGGTTAATCTACCAAAGCATGTAGTGACTAACTTGGGTAGCAGTAAACTACTACCCAAGTACATTGGCCCATTTCGTGTATTGCACCGCCTAGGCAATGCATACACGATCGAGTTACCACGTAAGATGCGAACACATCCCACGTTTTACGTTGGTCGGCTTAAGCCGTACCACCAGTACGCTGCTTCTTCCGATGAAGAACGCCCTTGCGCTCTAGCATCTCGCAGAGAGCCTTGTGCTCCCGATGGTGGGCATCAACAAGGGTCTGAAGAGCAGCTATCTCATCCCGAGACCGATCAACAATCCCACGAGCTACCCTTAGCTCGTCACGAAGAGATGTTAGAGATCTCTCGTTCTCAAGCTGAGCAAAGGCAAACTCAGCTCGATGCTTCGAGGCAGTGTCCGCCATTTGGAGACGCCTATTCCGCTCATGCTCGAGATCGTCGCGTAACCCTTGCGTTACGCGATCAAAGAAGCTCTCGGGAACACACCGATCCACATGATCGTGTGGAGAGCGTCTTTCCTCCTCCTCCACCTCCATTAGAGGACTCTCGCGGTGGCCAGCGCTATCTAGTTGAGCAGCTGTTGAACCACCGCGACGTGAACGGACGTCGGACGAGTTACCTCGTCCGGTGGCGCGGCTATCCCCCGTCCTGGGATTCTTGGGAGCCCCGCTCCCAACTGATGGTTGACGTACTGGGTCTGGTCGAGCAGTACGACGCGACACATCCTGTGCCGCAGAAGGACCGCCGGAGAAAGTCTTCCCGGCACGGTCGTAAAGGGATTTCAGGTTGTCAATCCCTTCGTACATCTCAGTAGAGACACGTACGCGCCACCACGGGCTGGTAAGGGAGGTAAGCCTCCTTAGGTGCTCGTGCAGAGTTGTTCACACAACATGGGCACGAGTCTCCCCAAGAGAGGCAGGGTAATCCTTTCTCCCTTGACAGACGATGCAGCTTATAGCGTGCACCTGTCGGGGTTCGCTTTTCAAACTTATCACGAGCTTTGATAAGTTTGTCGTTCCAAGCGTCACGACCTACATCCTCGAGGTTATGGATGTAGGCGTTCCACGCTTGAAGTAGTGAGGGACCACCACGTTTGTGATTCCCACTGTACCATCGATGTTAAAAGAAAGCATCGATGAAGAATTCATGTTCAGCGCGATAGTTTTTCGCGCTGGGGTCAAGGTGATGGATCCTTGACGAATCGAACAATCGTGTTCGATAACGATCACTCGTCGTCGCCGACAAGTGATCCATGACTGATTTAGGAGGCATCCATGCCTTCTTCTCAGGAGCGAGACGCAACACATTGCGGTCCCGCTCTTCCTGCTACGTGCCGACAGAAGTACTGGCACCTCGCTGTGAAGTGGTGTCAATAGGAGAACCGACAGCACTGTTAGCGCCCGAGTCTCGCGACCTCGAGCGCCTTCGCTTCGGCGATGGTTCATCTGATTCATCAGATGAACCAAAGATGCTACGACGCATAGCATCATCCATGCCACGCTTGGCAGGCGGCTTAGATTCAATCGCCGTCGATTCGGATCCGTCTTCCGTATCAGT